ATGATTTTATGCCGATTCTACAAAACAAAATATTTTCCTCATGTAAAAACCTTGGAAAACTTCAAAGCCCCGGTGGGATAATTACATAAATATTAACCAATTTAAAAAAAGTAAATAAATGCGGGTTTCTTTTTTTACTTTTCAATAATTGTGAGGGGGCAAAGTTGATCTTCGTTGTATTTGTGGACTATCCTAATATGCTTACATACATATGCACATATGTAAATTAATGTTGCCTTTAATGTCATGATATCAATATCCACCATTCTCCTCGTCAAGTTATCTTTTCGTGTCTACGTTTCGCATTCTAGCTGTACTTATGGCGTTAAAATGTGCTCTTAATACAATCTGATTACTTTGAAAAATATTTTTTTTTTTTAAATACACACAAACACACACATGCACATCATGGAAGTGAAGTTTTCAGTTTTCTATAGGCGCCAACTACTGTGAAATGAACTTTTACAGCTCGCGTTTCTAAGTGGTTTCTTGGCAAATTGCGCTGACGTCTAAGTACAACATTCGCTGCTTTGCCAACCAAATTACGGAAAATTCATTAGTACACCTTAATTTAGAAACTTTCCGCCCGCATTGCTGCCTATTTCTCGTCTACAGCTGACATGCATAGGCAAAGGACAACAAGAAGCGAAATGAGCCTGTTCACACACACACACATACACACACACATCTTACAGCAACCGACTAACTTGAAACCAGCATACATAACTACTTAGGGGAAACTGGTGGTGGAGCCGCTGCCTGTTTACTTTCCAGCCCTGTCTAACGTTGAATTGGAAATTAATCATCGAGATAAAGTGACACTTGACGCCATGCGAATATTTACGATGTTGGCCTAGTGCAGTCAACAAAAACAAAAAACCAAAGGCAATACAGAAAATTGAAAACAAACAAAAAGCATTAGTTTCGAATATAGAAACTGGAATTGCAACAGCAGGTATGCTACTGTTAGCAGTATATGTAGTATATATGTACATATGTATGTAGTATTTATTTAGTAGAGACGCCTTGTGGGGCATACTGCTTAAGTAAATATTTACTCAGTTAAGTTGTGACTAGTTAATGCCGTAAATGGCAGAGGATATCATCATCGTTATCAGAAGGGTTGCCACTGTCGAAAAAAAAAATACTTACCATCCACATGAAGAAAATCTACCAAATCTGAAAAATAACTACCAATAAATTTTTTCTGGTTATTTTAATAAAAACTCTAGCTTTGTTCTATGTTTTTAGTTCTTTCCATAAAAATTAAAAAAAAAAATTACTAAGGAACTTTTTACTTAACTAATGGCATGGTATTTGAGATCATACTAGGAGTGATGAAACTAAGGGCAATAACGAAACTTCATTTGAAAAAACTTGAACGGGAGTTTTTATAGACAAATACAATGACTCAAAAACCGATTGTAAGTTTTTTTTTTTAATGTGCACTGTGTTTCTCATATAAAGATTTTTTGCATTATTTTTTTGTATAACGATATCGGTAACCAAACCCATAAAAATTAAGCATTTAACTTATATACATTTATAAAAAAAAAAAAACATCGTCTAAATTTCGATCTTTTTACTCTGAATTTTTAAAACAATTTTGAGTATGCAGTTTTATAGCCCAAGGAATTTTAGTATAACCAAAAATATGCAGCTACAAATTGCAGCCGGTCTTTTGTGATTTTTTTTTTTTTTTTTTTTCATTAAAAAATTCTCATTTATAAAACCTAGCGTTGCTTTTTTCACTTTTTTGTGAACAATCATAGTGTATAGTTACATATATGTCCACTTTTTTCTTTTTATTTAAAGAATCATTTAAAATATTTAGGCAATCATACACTGAGAAAAGAGCAAACGAACAAAAATTTACCGTTTTACCAAACCAAATTTTGTTTATTAATTTTGGTAGCAATTTACCAAAGTGCCAACCCTGGTTATCAGCTACATAACAAACTATACAATTCGCGTACATACATACATACACACATACCAACAAAAGTGAGCGCCTGCATATATACTATAGTTTGTCAAGTCATTTATCCAACGGGTGTCATTCGTGCTCTATCGCGAACAATTTGTTCTGCTGCACCAGTGAATTAGTTGCTGACCGGCGGTTGGCACGCCATGTGTCCAATAAGTACAATAAATTAGACCGACAGCTAATGCAGCTCCACTACCTGTTCTCTTTCTTATTAATAAAACAGCGGATGCAATTTTCGTTAAAAGCAATTAATTAAATAACGTACAGGTGATTAATAGAAAAATCGAGCTTTTGTAACGGATATGATAACAAAAGATTCGGAAGTAAGTATTGGCGACACCTGTGAGTAAGAAAGTATGTCGATGCATTGTTGTTTGTGTTAACGCTAGGTAATGGGAACTAAGGTGGTACAAATAAGAAGTACACAAGTTACATAACAGTAAAGGCGCTAAAGGGCAGAAGGATTTCATAAATTCTCGNGCTTACATAACAGTAAAGGCGCTAAAGGGCAGAAGGATTTCATAAATTCTCGATCGAGCCTAACAAGGCGGGGTCTTTCGTAAGGCAATTGTCAATTCTGGCAACTATCTTGCAAGCTCTTTAGTGTCTTTCGAAAGACTAATTGAAAGATCTACTAACGGGGAGGTCTTAACGTTATGCTGTTCGCTTTATAGCAGTAAATTTAAAAAAAAAATATTAAATTTAAAAATTAAACACATGTATATATTCCTCTTTTTAAACCAATTTAAACTAAATAAAAATTAAAATTATATTAAAAAAGAGAATNCTCTTTATAAACCAATTTAAACTAAATAAAAATTAAAATTATATTAAAAAAGAGAATTAAATTAAATCAAAGCAAAGATAAATAAAACTATTTTTAGAAATTAAATAAAAAATAGTACGTAAAAATTAAATATAATTTAAAAAAAAATATTTTTTAAACAATATAAAAGTTAAAAAATTGTATCTACAAAACACAAATGTCATTTAAGATCCAAAAAATTTAATTAAATAAACAAACATATTTTACATTTTAAAACAATAAAATATGAAAATCAAAAGAAATTTAAATGAATTTAAATTAAAAAACATCAAAACAAAAAAGAAAAAAACTTTAATTTAAAAAAAATAAGTTCTTAAAAATTAAATGAAATTAATCACAATATTCTNTCTACAAAACACAAATGTCATTTAAGATCCAAAAAATTAAATTAAATAAACAAACATATTTTACATTTTAAAACAATAAAATATGAAAATCAAAAGAAAATTAAATGAATTTAAATTAAAAAACATCAAAAGAAAAAAGAGAAAACTTTAATTAAAAAAAATAAGTTCTTAAAAATTAAATGAAATTAATCACAATATTCTTCTTTTTGAAAGAATGGCATGTAAAAATTTAAATTTAAATTAAATCAAGAAAGAAAAAGATGAGTTTCTAAAAATTATATGGAATTAAAAAAGGAAAACAATTTGATTGAAAATAGCAAGAAAAATTTCTGCACGAGAACCAGAACTCAGGATCTCTCAAATGGCTCGCTACTGCTTTGCTTGCTCGGCCATTAGGAGTGATTGAGCGACGCGTGCTTTTTCTCAAAAATGCTATTCACCACGAGTGGTGAATGAGAGAGCGTTTATTAAAGACTTTTATGCTAGAATAACAAAAGCAGTTCGAACTATCTTTGCATGTCTTTCATTTGTCTTACGAAAGACTGTTCACTATCTTAGCCACAATTGCACTTTTCGTTGAACCAGGGATCGCCTTTTAACATTTTTCGTTGACACCTTCTTCTTCTTCTTTTTTGGCGCTATCACTGCCTAAGCGATTTTGGCCGAGTCCAAAAAAGCATGCCAGTCGTTTCTCTTTGGTGCCAACTGACACCTGAGGAGGCCTTTCTCTTCCTCTGTTACCAGCATCCCGATCCGCGTTGAATACTTTCAGAGCTGGAGCGTTTCTGTGCATTCGAACGAAATGACCTATCCGCTGAATTTGAATTCGCTGTATATCGTTGTAAAGCTCATACAGCTCATTGTTAAATCGTCTGCTGTAAACGCCATTGCCAACGTCGCCATGCATGCTCTTGTAGTAAAAAAGTTTTTCCTGTTCAGTTCTGCAGCTCTTATTGTCTTCCCCAACATCAGATTGAAGAAGTCACGTGAAAGGAAGTCGCCCTGTTTGAAACCTCGTTTAGTGACGAACGACTGGGAGAGGTCTTTCCCAATTCTGAAGGAGCTGGTGGTATTGCCGCATCAGTTTGGCATCCCCGCCAAACTGAGACAGAGCGACGTATAGGCAACTCCTTTCAGTGCTGCCGAAAGCGGCTTTAAAGTCGACAAAAAGGTGGTGAGTGTCGATCCTATTTCGTGGATCTTTTCCAAGATTACACGTAATGTGAATACCTGGTCAATGGTGGATTTGCCAGGTCTAAAGCCACACTGATAAGGGCCAATCAGTTCATTGACGATGGGCTACGGTCTTTCTGCATAAGAGTTGATGCATACACCGTATCAACTCCTCGCCACCGTACTTGAATTGTTCAGTCGGCAGGCTATCAGCTCCAGCAGCCTTGATGTTTTTCAGTAGCGTTATTGCTATTTGTACCTCGTCATAATCACTTTTTTTTCTCGTTTTTTAATACCAACAGCGCCGCGTTTTTATTCTCAATCCTTTTTTTTTTTGAAAGTTTCTCAAGTATTGTTTCAAAGTCCAAGGAATTTCGATTAGGAAGCCCCTGATAAGAAAGGATTTCAATCATCTTAACTAATATTGTTCATTCCTGGCCACAAGCTTAATTAGAAACCTTTTTTGTACACATTTATCCAAATTGATTTATCGCAAAATGTGAAAACGCCACAACCCCAAAAGTGTAAGATTTACTAAAACTAAAATATTACTAAACAATTCTGACAAAACATTTACATTGCCAACGATTTTCTTGGAATCGTATTAGCCAACCAACGAACCAACCACAAGTGAAAACCGCCATTGTAAATTATTAATTAAACTTACCGTCAGCGTTGATTTCCGTTTTGCTCTGTTGCGGGCTGAGGAACACATACACTGCAAAGAGAAATAGAAATCGGGTATAGAGAGAGAGAGATGGTAAGGTGAAAAAGAAGAATGGGAAATGCAATTAATCTAGTTGGAACTACTATGGATAAACGTATGTGTATTTGTTTGTTTTTGTGTGTGTATGTACATACAGAAGCATATTCGGCGCAATTTTAGTGAGAGTTTTATGTTGCTGGGCGTTTTTCGAATACTTCATACGAACGTGTGTTTTAATAGGTAGGTGGTACACAAGCCAGGTTGGACACAAACAGAAGAACAAGCAAATTGAAATGAAATTAGAAACAAAACATAAACAAGGGACTGCTAAACAAAAAGGCGGCATGTGGCGGTAAAAATCGAAGCCACAAACATTGTGCAAAACAAACAACAACAAAACTAGATGAACCCAAACAACAAGTTGTTTAATAAAGTGTACATCTAAAAGTGGTAGTAGTACATATACATATAGCTGTGGAGATAAACAATAACCGCCTAAGTCGAAAAACCTTAATGCGAGAAAAAACGTTTTAAACAATTGGATTGCAATGTTAACCGTATGGAGAAACCAAAATATGTTCGTCTAGAACTTTTTAAATAGCCTAGCTGGAGAGATGGGGATTTCACACACACACACATGGAATAGTTGTTGCCNAACATCTAAAAGCACACGTACTTAGTTGACATGTGGTAGTAGTACATATACATATAGCTGTGGAAATAAACAATAACCGCCTAAGTCGAAAAACCTTAATGCGAGAAAAAACGTTTTAAACAATTGGATTGCAATGTTAACCTTATGGAGAAACCAAAATATGTTCGTCTAGAACTTTTTAAATAGCCAGCTGGAGAGATGGGGATTTCACACACACACACATGGAATAGTTGTTGCCGAATACGATAGCATATATAGCTCAATTCTTTCTTAAGTCGACTTAGGCGGTATTTGCTTATGACCCCAGATATGTATTTATGGGCAGTTCCAGTATTGACAGTGAGACCTTCAGTCAAACGCGGTAATTTTTTTTTTTTTTTTTATAAAATATAAGGTAACTTTCGGTAGCTCGAATAAACATAAGTTAATGCAGTTGTTTGTATAAACAACATAAGAGATTTCAAAATCCTTACAATGGTGAATATTCATATCCATAGTTAATAAAGATCTAAAGATGTAAGAAGTTAATAAAGATGTTAATGTTAGCGCTGATGGTAATAGTGATGGTAATTGTAATGGTAATGGTATTGGTATTAGCAAAGATAATCGTAATGGTAATGATAATGATAATTGTTATAGTAAGGGTAATGGTATTGGTAATGGTAATGGTAGTTGTAATCGTAATGGTAATTGTAATGGTAATGGTCGTGAGAATGGCAGTGGTAATGCTAATAACATAGGTAACCAATTGGTAATGATAACGATAAAGGCAAATGTGGTGGTAATGGTAATGACTATACTTGTGGTAATGGTAATAGTAATATAATGGTAATAGTAAATATAATGGTAACAGTAATGTTAACGGAAATTGTGATAGTAGTGGAAATGGAAATGATACTGGTGTTGGTAATGGCAATAGTAATGGCACTGGTACTGGTATCGGTGATGACAATGGTAATATACTATCAGTGACGCCATCTGGTGTCTCTAGGTGGCATTACTTATAAGATTTCCTTGGAAGGGAGCACCTTTGAAGACACAATTATAAAAACACTTCCGTTTCCTCAAGCAATGAATGAAAGTCGGCGGACTTAAGGAAGCACTCGCTGTTAGGCGAGGTCACCGAGTAAAGGGATATCACAGCAGATTAATGGATGCACATCCAATCGTCCAAAGTGCTATGCCAACCAAGCCTTGATGTTATTGCAATAGACAAAACGGGACCCCTGCGCAAATGGCGTGCATGGCAATCCATAAACGCTGTATGTTGAGGTAATCAACATAGGCTCTGAACCAATTCGACAGAATTTTTAGATATCAACAGACGAAAAAAATATCCTACTTACAAATACTTACTTGTAGGGGGCAGCGAGCGCACCAAAAGGTAACTTGCTGCTTATTTCGAAAAGTAATTTGGAACTGACGTCTCTATGTGGATGCAGTGGAAAGCGGAACCATTCATAGAATTCAACTTCCGCCACGGCGCATACCTCTCATGGTCCACCTCATTTAACGGCGCGTACTGGTTTGGTGGCACATAAAACAAAGGCAATCATTACCGAGGACATACGGACGCCGTTTAGTCAGAAGATCGACAGAAAAGATTTAAATAACTAAGACAAAACATGTTGGTCTTTTGAGGCGTCGACAAGATCAGGCATCAACGAAATGGCTCTGTGAGACAACTGGGTTGAGTGGCCATTGGATGTAGGACGCAGTAAAGAGCTGGTTATACCAGCTACCGTCAACCATGCAATCCGGAAAGGGGTATTCAATAAGGGCAACTGATGCACCCGAACTACTGGCGGTTACTTGCCCACGTCAGCAAACAGACCCATAACAAGATCGGTTTAGGTGGTTACGCTTTCCAAGCGGGTTGGCCGATCATTGGATTTGAGAACGCAGTAACGAAGGACTGATTATGCAAGCTAGTGCCGGCCTTTCAACCCCGTAAAATAACTTCAATAAAGGTAGCTGAATAATCGAAATAACAAACTCATAGAACTATGTCTGCTAATTTAAAAAGACACAGAGCATAATCGTGGATAATGTTGTCTTCGGGCTTTTCGAGGACCAAAACTCGAGTTGCCGGTCGCCATCTGGAGACTACTATATTTTCAAAATTAAGATAGGGTTCAATACTGAGCACACCGAGACTGCAAAGCGGCTTTTGGAGGAGAAACTCGAAATAATACGCCGGATACTTGTTGTGGGCACGATGCAAAATACGCTTTGGCTTCCGGCATCTTAAAGATAACTCCTTTATAGGTCTGTTTCTACGACAAAGGATACACACAAACCACAGAAAATTTTAGAGGGTAACCTTAAAGTAGTGCGACGAACCGTGGGAGAGGAGACTAAGCACTGACCAATTTGCTCTAAACGATATTCGTAATTTACTATACCGAAAGCACAAATGTTTCCAGGTTATGTTAATCTGGCAAATTTGCACACGGAACCCATACGTTCAAAGTCCAAGTGCTGTCAGGTGAAGTTGCTACCATAAGTTGACTTAAAATAGACATCGTTTAGGATGTCAAAGACGTTATTGATTATCATCCTCAAAAACTTGTCTGCAATTTCCTGCAATTTAAGAAAACATATAGTAAATATCCTCGAGTTTCCATTTTTCCGATACCTAGGAGATGAGATCCATAGCGGCAAGAAAACTTTGGCTTCGCATAGCCCATAAAAATTGTGTGGCCGAATGGCGCGTCTTACAGTACAAAATGGATCTAATTTTTAAGCTCTCATTTGACGAGGGTTTGCGCAACTGTGATCCTCAGCCGTTTCCCTTAAACTTTTCATAAAAACTTAAATCTTTTTGTGTATCCGTGACACTCTCCTGGAATTATCCTAACAGGTGGATTTAGAGAAAAATAGCAAAAAATCCAAGCGGTTGTTGCCACAATTTTAGACCCAAAAGTGTAGAGGCAGCACACACGAGCTTTGTATTTGTGTTGACGCTGGTGGTGCTTTTTTGGGCGCTGTGTCGAAACGCATACATACAAATAAGTATATGTATGTATGTATGTATGTGCCACTTAAAATACACAGAGGCATGTGTGTATAGTATTTTTGTTAAGACCATCAACATGGCGAAAATTGTTTTTATCAGTTTTAGGAAATATTTTATTTTTTTTTTGTCCGAACGACTACGCCTGATGTGTTTGTTTTTGTTATGCCATGAATTTAGTTGGCGTATTTCCTGTGGCGCACATACGCGCATCAGTAGGAGGTAGTCGCTACATATCGTCAATATGACTATGGACATATGTATGTACATGCATACGAAAAACAGCACACCAACGTACATGGGTTGTAAGTTGAAATGCAAAAACATAAAATCCACTTGTAAGACTACAAGCACCAAGTTAATTGGTTACGCAGCCAAAAAGTAAGCAGCAAAACTACAGCAAAAACCATAAAGCAGTATCGTGGTATATGTACATATGTATGTATGTATTCACTTGCCAACCCGTAGCAGCAAATGAACAGTTCACTATCTCTAACCCATCATGCCAACACCACGCCTACCACTACCAATGCCCAGGTTGCTAGTTTTTTGCCAACATTTCCCAGCCACTATTCCTGTGTTAATAAGTTGCAATTTTTTGATGGCTTAAATTGTTGGCAACTCTACCTATTCGAGAGAGTTAGAATAGCAGGTTGTTGCATGCCACAAAGTCTGCGAACCCTTCTGATAATAGCAGTCAAGCTTTTGACTGTCAAAATGATTATCGACAGTTGGCTTAATTTAAGCTAAAGCGCGTTACTAGAGAAGAGTTGAGTGTTTTGATGGAGGTCGGTATGCAACCAAAACAAAACAAAAAACATACAGCTTTACGATGGAGATAGAGGATGACACATGCACAATGAAATGCGAAATGCCAAGCGATACGCAAAAACCTTTTGCATACATATGTATGTACATATAGGCGACTAAAAGTGTGGCAAAAGTTGAAAAGGCACCGATGGCGAAGTGAAAATTTGAAATTCTAAAAACGATAAAATGGCTGCCTTTACATGTGATTAAGCAGTTTGCTGTGTTGGTGATTTTTTTTTTCTTTTTTTTTTTTTGCAATGATACTAAACCAACAAAAAAGCTGTACGTATTTATAAGCGAGACTATACAAGCAACAGATTGAGCACTGGATTGGTTGAAAATTTGAGTCGCTTATACGCTTTTGCTTAATAATCATATTTTAATATTTCATAAAACTAACTAAACTCGACTTATGCATAGCATGCCTATATGAAACGCAAATCTATGGAAACCGCTTTGCACTCGCTCGTCGGGTTGGTGGAAAAGAGCTTATCAGACGAGGAGTATGCTTTGGTTGCCTTTATAGGCATCGAAGGCGCATTCAACAACATTAATGCAAGCGCCATAACGGGTGCCTTAGAAGAGTTTGTGAGTTGACCATAATGTAACGGCACTGAGTGAGACTATACTTGTCGGCAGGAAGATAACCGCTAAGCTTAGTACCACCANCCGCTTTGCACTCGCTCGTCGGGTTGGTGGAAAAGAGCTTATCAGACGATGAGTATGCTTTGAAGGCGCCTTCAACATTAATGCAAGCACCATAACGGGTGCCTTAGCAGAGTTTGTGAGTTGACCATAATGTAGCGGCACTTATTGAGACTATACTTGTCGGCAGGAAGATAACCGCTAAGCTTAGTACCACCACAATAAGCAGACAGGTCTGTAGAAGCACCCCTCAGAAAGGGGTTCTCTCCCCTCTTCACCGCATTCTGGCAGTAAAGTCCTTGTTGCTAGCCCAAGAAGGAGGAGGCTGCTACGCTACTGCTAATGCTGACGACCAGGAAATTACTATTAATACTTATGGATATATTGCGATCTAATACGGCTACGCTTAGGAATTGGGCAGAGTATGGGACCCGGAATAAACCCCGATAAAACCGAAGCAATTCTCTTGACAAGGAAACACAGGCTTCTCATAGCCTTCCCGCTAATCTTTAAGGGGGTGGAGAAACCTTTGAAAGGGAATGTTTAGTATCTAGGACTCATATTAGACAGGAAACTTACATGGAAGACTAATGTAAAGGAAAGAGAGAGGAAGGCCAACGTTGCATTATACACTTGCAAACAAGCGGTCGGAATCAAGTTGGGGTTAACATTTGCGGTACGATCAATACTATTACATGGAATAAATATTTGGATAGTGGCGAGCAACTCAAAAGGCCACTTACATAAAACTACTTAGTAAGGTCTAAAAAACTGCCTTTTTATGCGTTTCAGTTGCCTTAAGGCGTACCCCAAACAAAGCACTAGAAGTGTTACCAATTTTCTAGCAATAAACCTGACAGGAAAATACGTGGCTATCGCTTCAGCGCTCAGACTAAAAAGTATGGTGCTACGGATGGATCGGCGGTTCGGCCACGCTTCCATACTTCACACTCTACGTAGTTATGACCAAGAAATCGACTACTTCATCCCTAAAACCACATTCGATGGGCACTTTAAGAAGAGCATCCCAACAAGAAGAGAATGGCAAACGCCAATGCCATGGAGAAGGGAGGAATTGAATTTTTACACGGATGGATCCAAGCTAGAAAATAGAGTTGGCTACACAGTCTTCTCAAAGGAACTAGGACTGGAATTATCCGGCCGAATTCCATACCACTGCAGCGTTTATCAGACACAAGTTTTTGCTATAAAGGACCTAGTAGGCCCTAGTACGTATGCCGTAACGAAAGCTACGTTAATATCTTCTCGGAGAGCAAGGCGGCCATAAAACCAATGAACGCGATAATACTGATCTCGAAGTTTGCGAAGGAATGCCTCGCAGCTGTGAACTATATTACCGCCGTATTCAAGTTCAGTCTCATATGGGTCCCGGAACATAGATATATTGAAGGAAATTGCAGAGCCGATGAGCGAGCAAGGAATTGTACCAATCTTCCACTGTGTGACAGCAGAGGTAAGCTTGGGATACCCATGGCAACCTGCAAATTAGGACTTAAAATTAACATGATCCACGAGGCCAACAGGTTATGGCCTAGAGGGGGGCACTTGTAGAACAACCAGGCTACTAAGGCCACAAATAGATAAGAAAAGGGCGAAATAGTTGCTCAGCTTCTCAAGAGAGGCTATTGCGATGGCGCATCCGGGTATTGGCTATTTGGCAAGCCCCCTTCAACACTAGGAATATTCTCCCACAAATATTGAAGAAGTTGCACGGATGAGGAAGAGAAAGAAACAGTAGAGCACATCTTCTGCAGGCTTTTTAGGTAGGCACTTCTTTAACCCTTTTACGGAATTATCAGGCGTAGGAGTAAAGCCAGTAACCTACGCTTTATAAGAGCTTAAAAATCTAACCAAACCTATTATTATGGTGGTTACAGAAAAAACGAAGTCCTATTCTTTTTCGCTGGTTCTTCTTCTTTGCTGGTTGTTTTACAGATAACAGGAGATATTTCGTTTCCTGCTCGTTTACCACCAAATCTTAATAAACCAAGCGGATTTTGAGGTTCATGGAGGTGGAAGATTTAGCGTATGGTGAATGACTGGTCTATGGTGGTTAAGGTGCAAAGCCGTTCACACCAAACGCTCTATAAGATGTCAGCTACACCAGATTTGCTATTTTTAGCTGAGAAAATGCTATTCGAACTTCGTCACAGCCTTGGTGGTGGGACATCGACTGCGTCGTCATCGACTGGAAGCTCGGGTTCATTTTCCACACTGATTTCAACGCTGCTATCATTCAGCATGGTGGAAAAGTTTGTTTTTCCGAGCTCGCTGAAATCCGACTACGGCTTTGGAGATCGTACTGAATAAGCGTTTGATGAAGTCCCACTGCTTAGTACATACGAGTATATCTAATTTTTGAAGAATGTTTTCAGAGAGAAGGTGTGAGTCTTGGTTTCAACAAGATAAGTGGTCCGAGTTAGAAGAGAAGATAGTTTCCTTGCCTAACCCAGCATTGAAATCGCAAAGCACGCTTTTGATCGCCCGCTGACCCTCTCTCTCGCACTACAAATCCGACACCAAATTGATCAGCTGTAGTAAACTTCGCTGGACGAAACGAGTCGCTAACGCTATACCACCCATCCCATTTCTTGGATGGAGGTGATGAAAAGTCGTAAGTCTTTCCGGTGCATAACCTCAAATCATAGCAACTCAAATGTTTGCGATGATCGTCATAAAAAGAAGTCGGTTTCATACAATGCTGTATTGATCTTTTCTTTGGAACTCGGCTTACATTTACCCCCGTTTGCAGCCGCACCGCATTGTCGTCAATAGACTCCGCAGACTACTGTGGACCTTTAACCGAATACGTACGGCTGCTCGTGTTTCCTAGTACGAATTGCGCGCAGTCGAGCAAAACTGTAACTGCATACCCAGAAATCTTGCTACCCCCATTGTAAAGAACTATTGATAATTGCATTGAATTCAATTTGATTTTCTGTAATATTTTTCAGAATTAAAAGAAATGTCTATCCTCGGCACGCATACTTTTGCTATGCAATGTGAATATGTATGAATACAAATTTACTAATTTTTTCCCCAAACGCCAATATCGAAAAGTTCTCGCTTGCAGCCACCGCCACGAACACCACAAAATAGCGTCCGTCAGCAACTGTAATAAAATTTAACCAAGAAAAACAAAAACTTAAACTAATAGAAAGTTTTAGAGAAAACCTTAGCTGGCTATCGGAGGAAAAAAAAATTGTAAATTGCAAACTAAGAGTACAAAGTTTGCGTATATAAGTATGTATATACACTTAGTAAGTGCAATGAAAGCCATGCGGGCATTAGCCAAACTTACGCCAAACAGTGAATGCCAGCACGACCAGCGCCGTGACGATGAGACCAATATTCGATATAACCTTCACGAAAAACGATGATGAATCGCTGAACGGTTGTGTGGAGCAAGTTTGCAGCAAAGTATTAGCGCCGAGTATGGGTATCTGGAAAAAAAATAAAATAAATAAATAAAAACAAAGCAGATATACTGATAACTAAGCAAATAGAATAAGGCAGAAAAAAGAGCAACAAAATCCCAACGAAAATCAAATTAGAAATTTTGTGCTTTTTTTTTTTGGTTATTTTAAAGTATATGGACAAATTTAAAAAACAGGAAACCTTTATGTTATTTAGCTTTATTTTCATTGTTGTAGACTTTATCAAGCTGGTTGCTTTTGGATATATTCATAGACGTATACTTGCCGCCTCAAAAAAATTTTAATCAATTTGTTGCATAACTTTTGAGTTATACATAGATGTTTTAATTCGAAAAAATATTAAAAACAACTGATTTTTTTACGTAATTTTCATGAGGTTAATAATTATTTATGTCATAACTTTTGAAGCACACCATATACTGAGTTGAAATTTTATGTGCAATTAGTGCTTATGTGTGTACACTTCATATGTAGTAGGTAACTAAAGTGTGCTTTGAAAAATAACTAAATAGCAAGTGACTCAAATTGTGTAACTCTACTTTTCACAATTTTCAAATTTTTCGGTTTATCGCGCATAGTTTTTGAAGCATTTAATTTTAAAAAACTTTTTAAGTATGCATTGTATTCTACAAACAATTACGAATAATTTGATACCTTAGCAAGAGGTGTGAGGTTTTCAGAATAAACCAACTTTTAAAGATAAAATATTTATTTTATTCCAAAAACGTTTTAATTGAAGACACATTTGGAAAATACGTCGAAACGATCTAAATATTTTTGTAACTACTGGTCCTTATAACGTTACATATACCAGTAAAATGCTTAAAAATAAATGTTGCTCTAGAAGTGTGTAAAAACCCTGATTTACTACTTTTAGTGGTGCTACTTCTTATAGTTAGAATATTTCGAGCGTCGTATCAAATTAACTTTTTTCGACAAAGCATATGATAGATGCTCTTACTTAATAGGAGCCAGCTAAATTCAATGGCGTCCCCAGTTTTGTCCGATGGGCTCCACATTCTGAGATAGCGGTACTTGAAACTTTGCTTACATTTTTACTATTTTATAAAAAACTTTCTCGGTGTTTAAGTTGTTTATTTGAAATTTTGCACACGCTTGTATTTTAATATTTCGTCACATCTCTGAAAATCATCGAAATCGGTCCACTATAACATGTAGCTCCCATATAACTGATTGTTCAGAGAGGTTGTTTGCGTGAAGTTAGAGTTATAGCGCAAAAACACATATCTGAGTAATCAGTTGTACTGGAGCTATATGTTAAAGTGAACCTATTTCGATAATTTTAAGGAATAATTAAGGTAATATTAAAAACCCGTTATGTGCAAAATTTTAGTAAAATAACTTCTAAACTGAGGGAGTTATTTATAAAATAGCTCAAATTTAATAAAATTTTCAAGTACCGTTATCTCGAAAACCGGAGTCAATTTGGCGAAACGGGACGGACGCCATTGAATTTAGAACGGCCTAATTAAGTGAGTTCAACTTTCAAAATCTTTGCTAAAAATCTACAACGTGCCCAGGGTAATTTATAACCAACTTGTTCTTTTTTTTTTGAATAGAATCATATATAAAACATAGGTGTGCCAACAAATAAAAATATTTAACTTTTTGTTTTGAAAGTGTACCTGTTTTTTTGGATTTGCCCATATACCAACATACACACATATTTAGGTACTGGTTAAAGATAGGAATTTTTTATTTTGGCTCTTATCAATATACATATGTATTTACATATCGCACGTTCAATAATATGCAGAATTATTTAAAAAAAAATCAATTTTGTGGGAAAACGCAATCAAAGTTTGTTCAGTTCATACAATTGGTATACCAAGAAACAGACGGAAAGACACATATCTTCGCCATTTTGGGAAGTTTAGTCATCTGTTAGGCTGAGCATATTCTCCTTATCAAGCCCATTAATTGTTTGTTGAAATCTCCAAAAACATGCGTTATATCATGAACACCGAGACTGTAGGAACGCTAAAATTACACACAAAAACACCAAGACATCTAACTTATGTAATTTTGTGTCGTAGATTACGGATCTGAATACTGCTTTTCTAGATCAGATCATTTTTCTAAGATATTTGCATTTTAAGTTTGCCGAATGAATGAAAAAATAAAATGTTAACATGGAAAATGTTACTCATACGACATGTACGAGTACAGCCATGTACGTATACAGCCATGTACGATATGGCGTATGAGTAACATTTTTTTCTGTTCCTATTTCATACAAAAAATTATTGCACATTTTCATTTCTTTGAACACTTTGGTACTTATTTTACTACTGTCTTCGCAAAAGGCGATCACATTCTTGCCCTTTCTTCTACTTCCAAAATACAAATCTACATAAAGGCCAATGGTGACCATAAAGGTGCATGCATTAAATAAATTACTCCAGGAGTGGAGTGTGGGCGATGCTTAAAGCGACGTGTGATAGCCAAGCTGGGTTAGCATTGACCATGGCTGGAAATGCCATATACTCCCGAAAAAACAAATTCAGAAAATCTTCCTTAAAAACGAAAATTGAGATGAAATTTAAAAAAAAAAAATCGGAAGATGCCAGATATTTCATTATTACTTAAATTTGAAAGATATGTGATTGAATATTAGCGGTACTATTCTGAAAAGAGTCGGGATGGGTGGGTTCGGGACTTAAAAATTGGATTACGGATTGGGCGGGATCGGGATTAAATATCTAGTCCAGTGCCCATCTCTAGCACAGACCTCATTGGTTTCGGAATTTTAATGCTCTCACCACGTAGGATTGTTCTATACCGAAAACATTATACCTCGATTTTTTATTTGGAGATTAAAAAAATAATTAGAAGTCGCTCAAAGAGCTCAAAGTTTTGATGTAATATAAAAGGGGGGAAAACACGTTTTCGTAGAAATGGTATAAAATTCTTGAAAATCAATGTTTTTCGATTGGAAAACTTCGTTTCTCTTCAGGAGACTTCCAATAACAATACCCAATTGTGTAGTATTTTTTATAAAACCCCTAAAAACGTCAAAAAATGTAATGAGGGCCCATAAAAATCAACAGTGTTAAAAAAATTTATAATAAAAAATATTACAAAGTTTCCCGATTTAAAATACATGAAAAACTTTGAGCGACCTTCAAAATTTTTTTGATTTCAAAGCAGGGGTATAATTTTCTTCGGTATAGAACAATGCTAATGGGAGACAGCCATTAAAATTTACTTTACTTTTTCACATGCATTTTTAGCCACCCTAATGCACATATATATATTCATATGGGACAAAACACTACTCAAAGTAGAAGATATCAAAATGAGAAAAGGCTACTTGAGCCCATAGTCTTTTTTAAGTTCAAGTTAATTAAAAGGACAAATGGACACCAATCAATGCGATTCGCCGCAACAGAAAAGAAAATCATGAAGAAAACAAATTAACCTCAAATTAACACAACAATGTGGTGGCAAAGTATTCAATTGAGGATTACATTAATCTAATCGCATTTAAAAACAATCGAACCAAACGCCTGTTTTGCGTGATACGCTCAAAATAAAATTTGAATAACCCAAGGCAGGAGAAAAACTTAATACACCACGAATTTGTATACAAACAAACAAGTAGACACAAATTATATGCACAGACATTGAACTGCTCGAAGAAGAAAATGCCATAATTGACTTGTAATTGAGTTTTAGAAAAGGCATTGGCTTGTAATATAAACTGCTGCCAATCAAATAAAAGCTTTGATTAAATAAAAGTTGATTGTCACAAATTTCGGTTTTTTTTTTTGCAATAAAAATTTCGTTTGGAAGAGGAACATAAGAAACGACTCCAGACAATGTATTCGAGTTTAGAAAGGAATTAAGGCAACTGACTAACCATTTGCTGATTTAAAGTCCAGACTAAGGGAGTGGCTGCGAAACAGACAAAAATTAAGCTTATTATACGAAATTTGAATACATTAAAAAAAACGGAAAAAAAAAATAATAATAAAAGAAGAAAATAAATAAATGCAAAACTGTCAAAAAATAATGCAACAGTAAATAACTTTGACAAGGATAGAAAGTTAGATTTAAAGGCATATGAAAGGCATTATTGTGAGTCCAACAGACCACGTCAGTTGTTTCTCTTCTGTGCCAACTGACGCCAATTGAAAATGGCAAGTGAAGTCACAAAATATACACAAATACGCATTATTCTTGCTATGAACTAAAAATCACAATGTCGATAGTTGACTCCCTTACTTCTATACAGTTATTTCTTTCTTATTGCTATCTGTTGCTGGTATGTTGCTGTTGATTTTTCTGCTCAATGCCAGTGGCAATTACAGCAGCGCCGCCCATTAGCCAAGTGCCAACTAATTATGTATGTATGTACATAGTTAGCTTGTACCATAATGAAATGTAAGCGTTGGAATACAAATCAGATGCCAAAAGGAATGCGGATGTGGCACAGCCGAAATGCGTATCCACGCAGCAGGTATTTTTGGTGCTCACATGTCATCAAGCACCTAGCTAAACCAACTGGCGAAGAAATGTTTATGCAATTTTTCATTGAAAAGCCAAGCATCAACAGCTACAAGTAAGTATGTATAGAGCTACATACAGCTGCTTTTTCCTAGTAAACCTTATGTTCCTGAAATTGCTGCCGAAAATTGGAGAAACCATCATGCAATTGCAGTGAGCTTTTCCGGTGAAGCTGTTTTAGCTGATGGTGTTGGCATAACTGTTTGCGGAGGCGGAGGCGGAGGTTGTCTGCCGGTTGAGGCAAAAGCAGCAAACGCTCGTATTAATTTGACTTTTCGCCAACAGCAATGCTGAGTTCAGCGCACAAATGCCACTAGAAACGCTTTTGGAACTGTTGCTGGTGCTCCACCACACGCCACACGCCACACGCCACACGCCACACTCCTCGCTCACACTGATGTATGGCTTAACTTTTTTCAATTTGCAACAATTTCCGTTATTTTCCGCTATTTGCACGTTTTCAACTTACCATCGCA